ATCACATGGTAGGAGAACTGGAGTTCTGCAAGATGTCCCTAAGACCTCAAGAAGTGCATGCCCACACTAGTATATAAATAAATAAAAGCAAAAACAAAACCAAAATAAATACACAAAAATCACAAGCAGGGAGAAGGAGAGAGCAAACCAGCTTAAACTTCCTCCGGCCACCAGACAGAACTAATCAAGCGCTGCAGCTGCAGGGAGCCCAGCAAATCTCCTGCTGACCTGGGTTCCGCACCAGCACTGACCATAGGGCCTGGCCCCTAACTGCCCCCCAGCAAGTTTAACTGGAAACAATAGAAGAAACAAAGACACTCTGCCTTCCCAGTCACCAGCCAAATCCCAAGAACAGACAACTCATACACAAAATTCATTGTCCCCAAACTAGAAATGCCTTCAGAAAGTTCCTCAGGCTGTCTCATGAGGGTACCCTGCCTGTCCTGGAGACACAAAGGCTTCAGTCAATTGGGACCAGTCAACAGGGGCTGGTACAGACAGAGAAGTGGGGGAGATTCCTTGGGGACCACCCAATTCAGCATGTCCCAACCTTGCTTGAAGCTATGGTGTGGCATATCCTTCATAGCTGGGGACAAAATAAATAAATAGATAAATAGGAAAAGAAAAACAGAAAGCAAAGAGAGGGAAAAGGGGGGGGCTGTATGACCCGGCCCTGCTGGGAGAGGGAGCCAGGTGCAAGGTAGTTGCCTGGGGCTGCATCCAAGAATCAGGGGAGGAGACCAGGATGAGATGACCTGGGACTCCCACCCCAGCTCCTGCCCTGCAGGGTGGGAGGGGGGAAATGGCAGGCCTGGCTGCTTCCAGCCCAGGCTCCTTCGAAGGAATGCCATGTTTTCCTGTTTCCAATTAACATCCCCCAGCAGCAACCCTCCACATTCTTGAGACTAGCAGTCAAGGAAGGCTGGGGGGAATAAGGAGGGGGGAATCCTGGAAGGCTAGCTGGTGTCTGGCCTTAGGGCTAGAGAGACCGCTTAGTAGACTGTAGAATCTCTTTCCCCTATCCTCCCAGGTGACCCAAAGGTTTGATACTGACTCCTGGTTCTTTGTAGGTTAAAGCAGACCACCCCTCCATATCCCGAGGAAGGTGAGCAAAAGTGTCAGGAGTTTCTGGAAGGAACCAGGAAAGTGTACTGTAGCAAGACATAGGACTGTCCCCTGTGGGTCTAATTCAAGTTTCTCCCATCTTCCCCAATTGGGCACCTCTTTTCAGGACACCTAAAAGGCCCTCTCCTCTCCTCTCCTCCCAGGGTGTCCCATCTCAGGGTTATCCTAAAGTTATGTTATCCTTAACAAGGGAAGAGATCAGTGGGGGAGCATGGGTCTGCCAATACTCCTAGAATCAGACCCGATGCTGTATGAAGTACCTCTCAACGCTGGCCCTTGCAGCCTAATACAACTTAGCCACGGAGCACAAACCCTGGCCTCAGTTTACCTTCCTGTAAAAAAGACATCACCTATATTACCTCCCTCACTGGGGAAGCCAGGACTCAGCAGCACTCTCCTCCAGAGAGCACAGTCCCGCACTGGAACAAGCACACTGGGCCACCGCACTTATTCTAGTCTCGTACGCTCTACTCCAGTCTCCCACACCCCCAGGCCATCCCTATCCTAAACCAAGATGAAATAGAAATCACACTTTTGGCTTCTCCTTTCTCTCCCTGCGAGTCAGGTCAAAGAACTTTCATTTTCACAGTGTACGGGGAGGAGCCAGGCAAGCTACAGATCGAGATCTTTCTCAGGTGTGTCAAGATACCAAGTGGGTCCCAGGCCAGAGAAGCAGACACTACAGCAGTCCCTAGTCAGACAATCAGGTCAGCTTCCCTCTCTGCGATCACATGACAGCCATCAAGCCAAGTGCCAATCAGGTGAAGAGGTGGGTGACAGTGCCGCTGGGTCCCAAGCAATGCCAAGCCTTCACCCAGCTAGACCAGGGCTCTCCCTATCCGGGCACTCACTAGACACAGGTGAAATGATCCATCGAGCTGAGCCCTCATCATCCTCTGCCAAACCCGCTTTCAGGGGGAAAACATCTGGCAGATCCTTCCCCAAACCAGGTCCACTGAAATCAAAAGGACAAAGTACTAAGAGAGAGAGAGCGAACCAGTTTTGAACTAGGCTGGATAAATTCTAGGGTATTGTGAACTGGGGCTCAGAGTAACCCAAACAGTGTGACCTTAAACTAGTCTTTCAACCACACTAGGCCTCAGTGAGCCTGCCTAGAAAATGGACCACTCACTGTACTCACTCCTCAGACTGTAACCAGGGTAGGCTTCGTTTAGCAGTAGCCAATCCGGGGTAGAGAGTGGTTATTTCCGGCTTCTGGGAGGTGGGGGAGCTACAGAGGAAGGCAGGGTACCGAGGTAAACAACTGATAGGTCCCGTGGGGCCGAGGAAAGGGGTGGTCTCGAAGCGAGGCTTCCCCTGTTTCCTCATCTTGGGGGTTGGAGTCATAGTTGACCTAGGACGCAGGTGTGGGGAAAGGCTGTGTGCCAAAGATCTCTTGACTTCCAGCCCAGAGTCTTGGGTGTTCTCCACACATCCCCACATTTTTCTTACACTATGTTGGGAGAGGAGCGACAAAAGGGAATGAAGGTTTAAGACTTGGGGTGGGTTACCAAGTGCAGCGCACAGGCTAGAGACCTCAGAGGGCCCTGTCACCAAGACTTCCCCTGGAGAGCTGACCCGACAGCCTCTGACCCCACCTCCTCCAGGGACGTTCAGCTGCTCCGAACCACAAAGCAAAACAAAGGGGTGCGGAGAGGAAGGAGCCAGTATGCCTTCCAATCACCGCGGGCGCCCAAGCTCGCGCCCTCCCGCGGCTCGTCACCGGGTCCTCCGGCTGGCGGAGGCCCAAGGCCTGGCTGGGCAGCTCCCTGGTCCCTTGTCTCCCCCGCGGCTGCCGGTGACAGGAGCCGGAGAAGCAGCCCAGGGGCAGCCAAAGCGATGGGAAAACCAGATGGCCCCAAACCTCCTCCTCCCTCCTCCTCTCCCACCTACCTACCCACCCATCCATCCATCCCATTCCTCTTCCTCCGAGCCCGCGGCCTGGCCGCCCTCCGCAGGGACCTGGCCGGGATCACCCCGGGGAAAGGACTGCCTTTGTCTAAAGGTCACCACCCGGAGCGCGGTGCCCGGGCTGGGCCTGGTGCCTCCCATTCCCAAGCCCACGGAGTTGGAGCTCAGGGGCCGCCCCAAATCCCGGGAGGTGACAGGCGTGGAGGCTCCCCTTTTCCCTTCCTTTGATCCCCAGAAACAGGCCCCCTGCCGGACCAGACAGCTGAGGGGGCGGGGGTCCCCTACGCTCCCTGTCGGGGGTAGGAGAACCAAGTCAACTCCTCATTGTTTAGGGGCGATGGAGAGGGGGAGGACCTAGTGGCCAGCATCCCAGTTCATCGCTCCCTACAAGCCTGCGGGGGACCCCCGGTTCTCCCAGGCACCCCCAAGAGGGACTTGGGGAGGGGGCGCACAGGACGCGCGACAGGAGGGGGAGGAGATGGATCCAGCTGTCTATGGCCCTCGCCTCTCCCCAGAAAAGGCGGGGAGCACGAGGAGGGGAGGGGGTCCCGAAGGCGGGTGGGGGGTCTCTGCCCCTCCCCCCGTGGGACGTTCGCGTTCGCCCCTCTCCTCCGTTGCATTGTATCCCGGAGAGGAAACCGGGGCGCAAGGTTTGAGATCGGAGCGCAGTGAAGGGGGAGATCACTGCAAGATCGGGGCGGCGGCGGTGGCGGGAGAGACCTAGGATGGGGGTGCGTGGATAGTGGTGGGCGCCGAGCACCAAAAAAAAAAAAAAAAAAAAATCCAGTCTCAGCAGCGGCAGCGGGCGCTGCGCCCCGGTTGGGGGGCTGAGTGTGGAGTGTCGGGGGGGAGTGGGTTCGGCCCCAGCTACGGCTCTCCCCCCCCAACACACACACCCTCGCCGCCGAGCCCCACTCCCCCCCTCGCTTTTGCGCCCTGTCACAGCCCCGACTCGCAGGTAGAGAGAGTTAAGAGATTTAAAGAGAAATTGCTACATTGTGAGAAACTCACCCTGATGTTTGAGCAGCCGTCGGCGCGGGGTCTCCGGGACGGCCCCGCACGGGCTGCACAGGGAGGACCCAGAAGGGGCCGGCCGGCCGGGCCGGTCAGCGCACTGCCTGATCGCATGGCGGGCCCGGCTCCGCTGCGCCCGGGCCCGCCGCCGCCCTTGCAACGAAGCGGCCCCGCACGGTCCGCCCCGCGCCCCGCTCCGGGGAGCGCCCCTCGGGTATGCAAAAAAAAAAATTTTTTTTAATTGAATGCAAAAAAAAAAAAAATCTTGCTGGTTTTGTGTTCCGCCCCCCCTCCTCTTCCTCCTCCTCCTCCTCCTCCTCCTCTTCCTCCCCTCCTCCCTGCTAGGAGGAGGAGCGCCAAGAGGCTCCGCCTCTAGTGTAGCAAATAACCAATCATGGCTAAGAGTATTAGAGCGGCAGGTCTGGTAGCCAATAAAAAGGTGCACACTCTGTGGGCGGGAGCACGGAGTGGCAGCACCGCCCCCTCCTCCTGGCTCGGCGGGGCTGCCAGAGTGCCTGTTCGGCTCCGGCGCCTTGGGTCGGAAACCTGCAGCTAGGATTCCGGTTGGTGGTGGTGGAAGAGGAGCTGGAGGGTTCGTGCGTGTCCACATCCCCGCGCCAGGTCCGCCTAGGCCCAAGATGGTGGCTTCTACGGGATGATGCGCCCCATGGCACCTCAGAAGACGAGAAGAGAGAGCGATCGAGGCTTCAAAAGGATGTGGGACAGTGATGCTGCTCCGTGTCGGACTCAGAGAGTGCCGGGGATGGGAACCTCGGAACTCCAGGCCTGGTGTATCAAGTCTTTCCGAGCCTGTGATTTTGAGCTGCTATGGCGCAGGGACCATAGTCCGTCCTGTTAGAGAGCCTGGCGGGCCGCACAGATCCGAAGCTCAGGATCCTTTGCGCGGCACTTGGAGTCACAGATCTATTTGCAGAGCACTTGGTGAGCGGGCAGTTTAGCCCTTCGCAGCGCGTCCCCAGACCGCTCTGGCCTGCCGTCTCGGACCGCACTGACCTGATCACTTAACATTCAGGTCTCACCTACCCTTCTGTTAACCCTGGGCCCTAGAAAACCTGGTACACACAGTAGGTATCAAATAAATTTGTGTTGCATAAACGACTGATTGATCTGTTTTGTAAGCTTTATCGTTGATCCCATGTTGGCACTACCCGTATATTTATTTAAGCATACATTTTTTTTTTTTTTTTTTGAGACGAGGTCTTACTGCGAAGCACAGGCTGGGCGCTCCTCCTGCCTTCATAGGTGTTGGGATTACACTTGCTTGACACTGCTTGACTCAATTATTTTTTAATTGTTATTGTGAGGGCGGGGATGTAGTTCAGTGATAAGAGTGCTTTTCTAGTATGTGGAGGTCCGAGTGCAACAATGAAAAACTGTAAGAAGCTGAGGCCCTGAATCAAACAAGCACGATCCTGCTTCACTGTGGTCTTTCCCACTTGCTGCCTGTGTGCTCTGATGTAAATTACTTCATCTCTCCTTTCCTCTATTTCCTGTTTTCTAAAATGCTGACGGTGGGGTTGTTGAAATTGCTCAGTGGGTAAGGGCTCTTGCCACCAGACCTGGCGATACGAGTTCAATCCGCAAGTTCCTCATTGGTAGAAAGAGAGAACTAGCGGCACCTGTAAGCTGTCCTTTGAGCTCTGTGCTTGTAATAATTATTTTTTCAAGACAAGGTTTCTCTGTAGCTTTGGTGCCGGAACTAGCTCTTGTAGATGAGGCTGGGAACTCACAGAGATCCGCCTGCTTTTGCCTCCCCAGTGCTGGGATTAAAGGCGTGCGCCACCACCGCCCGGCTGTAATAATTACTTTTTAATGCAGTGGGCCCATTTTATAGAGTCCATTATAAAGCAAAGGAAGTGTCAGCTGCTGCCATTATTTGGTGACTTGGTAAAATGAAAACTATCCATTGTAGAAGTGAACACCTCAAAAGTGTTCACTCTCAGTCACACAGTGGTCTTACACAGCCCACTGGAGGTGCATAAACCACTCAGGAAAACCAGCAAGTACACATTGCTCTTATTTTTGTGTAGTTGGCCCAATGATTTGAGCTGGGAGTGATTCTAATTAGAACTCCCCTCAGAACTGTACGTGCAGAATCATGCACTTGGGAGGTGCAGGCTGGAGAATCAATAGTTCAAGGTCATCCTCAGCTACTTAGGGAGGTGTGGGCCAATCTGGGCAGAATGAGACCTGACTCAGTCTCACAACTTGCCCAGAGACAGAACTGAGAGCCCCCATCTAGATATGGCCATACTGTACAAATTCAGCTTTGGCTCCCAAAAGGGAAGTGTTTTGCCTATCTAGGAAGTGTGCAAAGTGATCTGACCTGGGTGGCACTTGGGTGTCTATTAGAGCTACAAGCTCTGGAAAACTCAGAACTTAAGTCCTGACTGACAAGAAGCTAGATGGCTTGAGGCCAAAGGGTTGACTGCATTTACTCATTCATTCATATAGGAAATGTGTTCTAACTGTCTGCATCAGGAATTCAGTGACAACCGGCTTGTTGTGCTGTCCCTTTGGAGGCTGAGACCGGAGGATTGCTGAGCATTCAAGTCCAGCCTAGGCCGTTTGGGAAGACCATGACTCAAAAAATAAGCTGGTGATGTAACCCTAGGGGTAGAATGCTTGCCTAGCATGCAAGAAGCCCTGGATTCTACCCCCAACACTGCATAAACCCTCCATGGTCATGCGCTTGGGAGGTAGATGCAGGAGGATCAAATGTTCAAAGTCATCTTCTGATATACAGCAAGTTCAAGACCTGGGCTACATAGACCTTGCCTCCAAAACAAAGGTTTGTTGAAAGGAGAGATTGTTTATGACTAGTCACCTACCTGATTCTTATACAAACCCAGGACCTCTCAAGAGAGGGCTTTGAACTCATGCTACTTGGGAGTGTCTGGCTGGATGTGGTGGAGCTGTGGCAACCCAGCCCCCAAGCTGAGTCACAGCTGGCACAGCCCTGTGGGATCAAATGTCCATCTTCCCTGGGCATTCCTGGAAGCCCATCCAGGCTTCAGAGCTGGTGACAAGTGTCAGTGCTATTAAAAAAATCACTTGGTGGCCAGGCAGTGGTGGCGCACACCTTTAATCCCAGCACTGGGGAGGCAGAGGCAGATGAATCTCTGTGAGTTTAAGGCCAACCTAGTCTACAAGAGCCAGTTCCAGGACAGGCTTCAAAGTTACAGAGAAATCCAGTTTCAAAAAAAAAAAAAAAACTGTCTTCCTAACATGCATAAAGGCCTGGAGTTCATTCTAGCTACACACACACACACACACACACACACACACACACACACACACACACACGGGCCATGGAGGTACACCCTGTAATCCTAGCACTCTGGAGGTAGGGGCGGGACGATCAGAAGTTCAGGATTAGTGGTTGGAGAGATAGCTCTGTGGTTAAGAGTTTGAATTACTCTTACAAGAGGACCCAAGTTCTGTTCCCAGCACCCATATCAGACAGTTCACAACAGCCTTTAATGCCAATTCCAGGAGAGGTAATGCCCTTTTTTAGTCTCCTTAGGCACTGAGATTTGTGCATATATATTGAAACAGGCACACATACACATAATTTGTTAGAAAAATAATTTTTTTTTGAGTCAGGGTTTCTCTGTGGCTTTGGAGCCTGCCCCGGAACTAGCTCTGTAGACCAGGCTGGTCTCGAACTCACAGAGATCCGCCTGCCTCTGCCTCCCGAGTGCTGAGAAAAATAAATTTTTATTGATTTTTATTGAGCTTTACATTTTTCTCTGCTCCCCTCCCTGCCTCTCCCTGCCCCCCTTCAACCCTTCCCCAAGGTCCCCATGCTCCCAATTTACTCAGGAGATCTTGTCTGAACAATATATCAGCCAGGCGGTGGTGGCACACGCCTTTAATCCCAGCACTTGGGAGGTAGAGGCAGGCGGATCTCTGTAGGTTGGAGACCAGCCTGGTCTACAAGAGCTAGTTCCAGGACAGGCTCCAAAACCACAGGGAAACCCTGTCTCGAAAAAAAAATCTATCTATATATATATACACATACATATGTATACACACACACACACACACACACACATATATATAGTCAACTACTTAGTGGATTGAAAGCTAGCCTGGGCTACATGCAACCCGGCATGTCTTTAGCCTCAGTACTTGGGAGACAGAAGCAGGTGGGTCTCTGGGTTCAAGGCTAGCCTGCGTAATGAAACCCTGTCTTGAAGGAGAAGATGAAGTAAAAGGAGGAGGAGAAGAATCATTTTTAATGATTTTTTTTATTTTTGTGCATTGATGTTTTGCCTGCATGTATTTTTTTATGAGAGTACCAGGTCCCTGGGAACTGGGGTTACAGATAGACAGTTGTGAGCTGACATGTGGGTGCCGCGAACTGAACCGGGTCCTCTGGAAGAGCAGCCAGTGCTCTGAACCATTGAGTCATCTCTCCAGTCCCTATTTCATTTTTTTTTTAACCTCAGTATTTTGGACTAAACCCAGGGCTTCACACAGCAAGGGCTCTAGGCACCATCCCAGCCCTCTTGTTTTATTTGGACAGTCTAAGCTGCTAGAGTTCAGGCCTTGAACTTGCCATCCTCCAGCCTCAGTTTCCTTAGCAGCAATGGATAATAGCCCTGCACCACCAGGCTGAGCTGGTTGTTTAGTTTTAATTATGACAGTATAGTGGGAAGGAAAGGTAGAAACCCCTCATGTTCTTGGACAGGTTCAAATATTGAACTTCCTTCTTTACTAGGGACCAGACATCTTATCAACCGAATCCTCCTCCAGCCAGGAGAGCATCCTTTCTCATGTATTTCTGCACCATGCCCTGTCTCCTTTAAAGCCCAGAACCCCTCAGAAACACAGCTCCTTAAAGCCCAGCTTCTACCCATGAGAACCTCATCAGCGCCAACTGTCTACAGAAAGTGTCAAAGGCATCCGTCTCTTGTAGCGGGGGTGGGGAAGTTGGGGGGCGTGGGCTTCAGTCTTGCTATTCAGTCAAAGATAACCTGGAACTCCTGACCCTCCAGCCTCCACCTCCCGGGATTACAGCTTTCATCACCTTGCCAAGATGATGCGGTGTTAGGGACTGGAACCCAGGGCTTCCTACACGCTTGGTTAAGTACTTGAGCAACTGCACCACATACCCAGCTCTATTTCATTGTGTGAGTGTGTGTGTGTATGTAAATCAGGAAATTAAACAGGATTTGGTTCTCTCCTTTCAACACGTTGGGTTCTGGAGATCAAATTTAGATCAAGGTTTGATGGCAGGTGCCTTTATTCGCTGACCCATTTCACCAGACCCCTCCCCTTTTGGCTCCTGTCAGGAACCTTCCCGTTTTGGCTCCTGTCAGGGAGTGGAAGCTTAAAACTTTGCTTCCCAATTGTTTCTCTATCCGAAAGCCTGCTAGCACACGATTGGTGCATTTTCCTTTTGCGTGTAACACTTCAATAACCAAAAGCCGGACACCCATCTTGAAACACTCCTGCCTTTCCAAGTTGCTTTAAAAACGGGCAAGGAAAGTTTTCATGAGACTTTCAGGAGTCTGGGTCTTGGTGTCCAGGAAAAGGAAAAGAGGAAAAAGAAGGTACTAATTCCTGCGTAGTCTCTAGCCGTGCCTTTAGCCGGTGGCAGCACTGTACCAGCTCTGAGCCCAATCCGGATCAGAGCGCCGGAATCCGGCAGAGAAATCAGGCAGCGCCTAGCCCAGCCCGGCCTGGGGTCCTTAGCGCCGCAAGTGCGAGGGGCGGGGCCTAGTCTTCGATTGGCCCAAACATGGGGGCGTGGCCACAGCTCCGCCCCACCTTTCTCCCCCCCCCCACCCCCGCGCACACACAAGATGAAATAGGCTTCGCGCCCTGGTGCTCAAAATTATTCTCGGAGTAGGCGTGGTCTAGGTTTGTTTACACGCTGCCATTGGCTGGATTTGAATCGGGCCGAGCGGGTGCGCTGCGGGGGCGGGGCCTCGGAGGGCGGGGCTGGCGGCTGACAGCTTCCAGTGTACCGGAAAGCTCATGATAGAGTTTTGGCTCTGCAGAATCCTGTTGCGGTTTCTGTCAGCTTCTTAATAAAGGCTAGCCAAAAAACTGAGGTGCATGTTTTCATAAAAATTCCTAAAACTAAAGTAAATAAATGAATAAATTTTTAAAAAGCAGATGCGATCCAGCTGTCCAACAATGGGGATCTGAAATCATCTGGGATCCAGACATACAGTGGGACAGGAAGTCACTGTAATAAACGAGGAAACCGCGAAGTGCCACAGAACAATTTTTGCACCCACTCAAGAAGGGAGGTTCTAAAAATGCAAAAAGTATGGGTGAAAAGGCACAAGTTATCTGCTGATGTATTGCACAGAATAACTTACGAAATGGAAATGGATAGCCTGGAGTTAGGTGGATCATAGGTCATTTTGTAATTTCGTGAAGTTAGAATTTGTATCACCTACTCAAATAAATATACTGTAAATTGAAATAAATAAAATATGAATTTAAGTCAGGAATGGTGACAAACACCTTTAATCCCAACACTTTGGGGGGTAAAGACAAGTGGATTTCTGTGGATTCAAAGCTAACCAGGTCTACATAGTGAATGCCAAGACAGTCAGGGCTATGTAGAGACTTTTCACCCATACTTTTTGCATTTTTAGAACCTCCCTTCTTGAGTAGGTGCAAAAGTTGTTCTGTAGAGAGACCCTGTCTCAAGAAAATAATAATAATAATAATAATAATAATAATAATAACTTCTGAGAACCAGGTCTTAGCACCTGTGTGGGAGAATGACACAGGGGGTATGAATTTATTCATTCCAGGCCACCAGGGCTGTACCAGAGCCAAATATATGAGGAAAATTTATTATTTACAGAAGCAGTAGCACCCTTTATCTTCAGGAGACACATTCCAAGCCTCCCATGGATGCCTGAAAACAGGTAATATTAAACACTGAATACTTTTTTTTTCAATTATTTTGCGCTAGGGTCTTATGTAGCAAGGTGGGCCTGGAGCTCCTAATTCTCCTGCCTCCACCTCTAATCACTAAAACTGGCTATGCGCCAGATTGAACCCTGGATTTTGTGCCTGCTAAGCAAGTGTTCTACTACGGGGGTCTCACCCTGTAGCCTGGGATAGCCTTCAAGTCATTATGTAGCCCAGGCTGGTTTCCAATTTCTAGCAACCTGGCTCAACCTCCAGACTGCTAAGATGACAGGTGTCTACCACCTGCCAGGCTTGTGTTTTCCTTCTGTTCTTTTTTTTTCTTTCTTCTATGCATATATACCTATAACAAAGTTTAGCTTATCAATGAGGCACTGTGGTCGTTTGAGAGAGATATCTCCCATATCTTCTAGTATTTGAATACTCAGTTCCCAGTTGGATGACCCTGTTTGCAATAGGTTTTGGAGGAAGTGTAGGTTTGCTGGAAGGAAGTGCTACACATAAATAACAATAAAAAAGTAATCTTAAAACAAAAACAACCCCAAGGCTGGCAAGACAGCTGTCAGGTAAAAGGCTCCTGATGCTAAGGGTGATGACCTAAAGTTTCAAAAGTCTATACCATGGCCAGTTTGCTCTCAGCTTCCAGCTCCAGTTGCCACACCTACTTGCATCTACACTTCCTAGATGGCCTAGCGACAGGCTCTTATTCTTTCGAAACCATAGACTCAAAAATATCCTTCGCTTTTATCACGGTAATAGAAAAATTACTAAGACATACACCTGAAGAAATTAACATAAGTAGGGTGTGGTGGCACACACCTTTGATGTCATCTCTGGGGAAGCAGAGGCAGGTAGAGCTCTGTGAGTTGGAGGCCAACCTGATCGGAGAAAATAAATAAATAAATAAATAAGAGATTAACATAATAGCAAAAGATTTCTTTTTATTGTTATTTATGCATAGCACAAATTCTAATTGGTATTAATAATAAAAACCCAGAGTCAGATATAGGGGTTAATTCTGAAGATCAGAGAAGCAGAGCAGACAGTCACTAAGGAGACCTTTTACCTCTACCAAATCCTCCAACTGAAGGGGCAGTCCTGTCTGTATGAATCCTCAGACTGCATGCTCAGACTGCCTCTCCAGACTGCATCCTCAGACTGCATCTCCAGACTGCATCCCCAGACTGCATCCTCAGACTGCATCCCCAGACTGCATCCTCAGACTGCATCCCCAGACTGCATCCCCAGACTGCATCTCCAGACTGCATCCCCAGACTGCATCCTCAGACTGCATCCCCAGACTGCATCCTCAGACTGAATCTCCAGACTGCATCCTCAGACTGCATCTCCAGACTTCATCTCCAGACTGCATCCCCAGACTGCATCTCCAGACTGCATCCCCAGACTGCATCCTCAGATTGCATCTGAGCTCCTGCTTTATATTTCTCTCTCCGTCAAGCATATAACTCCTGTCTCCACCTCTCCAGTGCTGGGAATAAAGGCATGTGACTCCCACATACTGGGACTAAAGGTGTGAGCCATCACTGCCTGGCTCTGTTTCTATTTGAGATTGGATCAATCTAGTGTTACCCAGAGTGGCCTTTAAATCACAGAAATCTGTCTACCTCTGCCTTCTGGGTGCTGGGATTAAAGGTGTGTGCCACTACTGCCTGGTCTCTACGACTAACTAATGGCTTAGCTCTCACTCTGATCTTCAGGCAAGACTTTCTTTGTTAGATCACAAAATATCACTACATTTATGTGTATGCATGTGTCTGTGTAAAAAAAAATACTTGGGGAGTGTGGATGCCCTCAGAGATCAGAAGAGGTCACCGGATGCCTTGGAGCTGGAGTCAGGCAGTTGTGGGTTGCTGGTCCTCTGGAAAGTCTTAACTGCCAAGCTCCCTTTCCAGCCCCTCTCCCCAAGTTTGGCTACCCTCCCCCATCCAGACAGGGTTTCTCTGTGTAGCCCTGGTTGTCTTGTAACTCCCTCTGTAGACCACACTGACCTCAAACTCAGAGATCCAGTTGTCTCTGCATCTTGAATGCTAGGACTAAAGGCATATGCCACCACTGTCGGGCTCCAAGTTTGTCTTTTTGAGACAAGATTTTGGTCTGAAACTCACTATGGGGCTGGGGATATGGTTTGGCTGTTAAGAACATTGGCTGCTCTTACAGACGACCAAGGTTCAGTTCCCAGTGGTTCACAACTATCTCACAGTGATCCACCTGCCTCTACCACTCCAGTACTTGAATTAAAGGCTTGTGAGGCTACACCCATCTTAAAAAAATTTTTAAGAAACAAAAAGAGTGGCTTTGGAGGGGATAAGGTTGGGGGGACGGGAAGGAAGAGAAAGAGAGAGGTCACTGGATTGGTAAACATGGAAATGAGGGTTCTGGGGGTGGTGGGGCTGCGGCCAGCTTGCAAACGGTGGTTAGCGAAGCACAACAGTGCATGAAAAAAGTTCAGCATCATTAGTCATTAGGAAAGTGGAAGTTCAAAACCAAGCTGTGACAGCAATACACACATACCAGGGTGACCATAGTCAAATGCGTAGAGGGCACAGTGGTAGTTCAGAGGGTAAAGTGCCTGGTTTGTGAACAGCAGAGCCTTAGTTCTGATTCATAGCACCCACTTAAAAGCTGGGGGAAGGGGGCAGGATTGGAGACAGGTGGACCCCTGGGGATTGCTGGGTTGACTAGTGAACAAGTTTCAGATTTAATTAGAGTCTCTGTCTTAAAATAATCAGACAAAGAGCAATAGAGGAAGACACCTGAGGTCTAGCTGTCATCCAAGCATATATGCACTGGCACCTGCATGCACACTTGAATGTGAACACACACACACACACACACATTGATGGTTAGTGTTAGCCATCAACTTAACAATATCCAGAATCACCTAGGAGACAAGCAGGCCTGTGAGTGGACCATCTTTTTCATGTGTTAAACTCTTTTTTGTTCTTAAATTCTTTTAAATTCTTTTTGAAATTGTATGTGCATTGGTGATTTGCCTGCATGTGAGTCATTGTAAGGGTGTCAGATCCTGGAAATACAAACAGTTGTTAACTGCTATGTGAGTGCTGGGAATTGAACTCAGGACCCCTGGAAGAGCAGTCAGTGCTCTTAACCACTGAGCCATTTCTCTAGTCCCTTGTTCTTAAATTCTATATTTGAATTCACATAAAGTGTTTCAGATCAGTGATTTTAAAAATATTTTATTTAAAAAAAAAAGTCAGGAATCCTGATTGCTCTTCGGGCTGATGAGGGAGGGGGACCTGATTGGGGGAGGGGGAGGGAAATGGGAGGTGGTGGCGGGGAGGAGGCAGAAATCTTTAATAAATAAATAAATAAATAAATAGATAGATAAATAAATAAATGGTTTATTATGCACAAAAAAATGTGTATGAGTGTTTTGCCTGCATGCACTTCTGTGCACCACATGCACACCGTGTCCAAAGCAGGTATCAGATTCTCTGGGACTGGAATTGCAGCAGATGTGGGCCACCTGGGTGCTAGAACCAAACTCTAATCTTCTAGAAAAGAAGTATGTGTTCTTTTTTGTTTGTTTGTTTAGTTGGTTTTTGAGACAGGGTTTCTCTGTAGCTTTGGAGCTTGTCCTGGAACTAGCTCTTGTAGACCAGGCTGGCCTTGAACTCACAGAGATCTGCCTGCCTCAGCCTCCTGAGTGCTAGTATTTAAAGGTGTGAGCCACCACTGTCCGGCAGCAATGTGTGCTCTTAACTGATGAGCTATTTTTCCAGCCCAAATTATTCTTGTCTTAAGGATTTCTTTCTTTCTTTCTTTCTTTCTTTCTTTCTTTCTTTCTTTCTTTCTTTCTTTCTTTCTTTCTTTCTTTCTTTCTTTCTTTCTTGTATTTTACCTGTATGTAAGACTGTGCATCCCGGGTGTGCAGTGCCCATGGAGGCCAGAAGAGGACAGTGAATTCCTTGGAACTGGAATTACAAATGGTTGGGAACCATCATAGGGCTGCTGGGAATAGAATCAGAATCATCTGGA